ATATTATTTACTTATTCGTTCGCCTACATGAAAATGGAGTGTTTGGGCTGTTTATGTTTTGTATTTTTTAACTGTAATGTGATATATATAAACTCTGAAATACGTTCTGATCTCGCAGCGGAATTTTGTGGAGAAGTTTAATTGTTTTGTTTATTTTACTTCTTACTTAGCTGATGCTCCGAGAGGCCTCTGAACCACGGGTCAAGATAATGTTATTTCATTAGTTATGAAGCAAAATGTGTGTGTGTGTGTGTGTGTGTGTGTGTGTGTGTGTGTGTGTGTGTGTGTGTGTGTGTGTGTGTGTGTGTGTGTGTGTGTGTGTGTGTACTCACCTATTTGTACTCACCTATTTGTGCTTGCGGGGGTTGAGCTTTGGCTCTTTGGTCCCGCCTCTCAACTGTCAATCAACTGGTGTACAGATTCCTGAGCCTACTGGGCTCTATCATATCTACATTTAAAACTGTGTATGGAGTCAGCCTCCACCACATCACTGCCTAATGCTTTCCATCCGTTAACTACTCTGACACTAAAAAAGTTCCTTCTAACGTCTCTGTGGCTCATGTGAGTACTCAGTTTCCACCTGTGTCCCCTTGTTCGCGTCCCACCAGTGTTGAATAGTTTATCCTTGTTTACCCGGTCGATTCCTCTGAGGATTTTGTAGGTTGTGATCATGTCTCCCCTTACTCTTCTGTCTTCCAGTGTGTGTGTGTGTGTGTGTGTGTGTGTGTGTGTGTGTGTGTGTGTGTGTGTGAAATAAAGTATTTAGTAGTTAGTAACAGTTGATTGATTGACAGTTGAGAGGCGGGCCGAAAGAGCAGAGCTCAACCCCCTCAAGCACAACTAGGTGAATACTACTAGGTAATTGTCACTGTAATTGTGAACTGTAATCTCACTGTAATTGTCACTGTAATACGTAATTATCACTGCAATCTCGTTAGGCAAAAAATTACATCTTTTAAGTACCTTGTCCAACCACTTGAGCTGGACGATAGAGCGACGGTCTCGCTTCGTGCAGGTCGGCGTTCAATCCCCGACCGTCCACCAAGTGGTTGGGCACCATTCTTTCCCCCCCATCCCATCCCAAATCCTTATCCTGAACTCTTCCAAGTGCTATATAGTCGTAATGGCTTGGCGCTTTCCTATGATAGTTCCCTTTTAAGTATCTTGGATAATTTATGTCAAGGTGAGGATTAGTGATGGATTCATCAATGAATCTAGATACGATGGAGATAGATACGATACGATGGATTGTATTAAATAATACGATCAGGCATACACCTACATATTAGACTAATTAATAAATTATACAAAAAATAAACAGTTATACATTCAGATCACAAATGAGAGTTTTTGTTTGAAAACGTAAATCAATGTTGACCAGACCACACACTAGAAATTGAAGGGACGACGACGTTTCGGTCCGTCCTGGACCATTCTTAAGTCGATTTGATTATCAATTTTGATACAGTCTAATTAGCTGATTCACTTTATTACAGAATTTAGGCAATTAAGAAGTTATTACATGGTGTATTGGACAAAATACTTACTGAATGATTCAAAAAAATCTGAGTCGTCGCCTCCTGAAATAAGCCTTAATAATCTGGTAATATTAAGTCTTAATGTGAACACATTTCAGCCTTAGTAAACCTCAGTGATCTGGTAATATTTGTCGTTTTTGACCCCTACTTAGCTCTGTTTTTTTCACAAAATGATGAACATATTGCTTTATTGAGTGTTCATCATGAATATAAATGGAGTGTTCATCATGTTCTCGAAAATCTTCTCATTTTCAGAAACTCTTATGAAACAGGCCAGTAGCATATTTACTACATTGCTATAAATGCAGACAAGGAGTCACAATAACGTGGCTGAAATATGTTGACCAAACCAGACACTTTGAAAGTGAAGGGACGACGACATTTCGGTCCGTCCTGAACCATTCTCAAGTCGATTTTTTATTTGAAAATGGTCCAGGACGGACCGAAACGTCGTCGTCCCTTCACTTTCTAGTGTGTGGCACTGGTCAACATAGATATATATGTCCTATAAATGCTTTAATCCAGAACTAGTCATCACAATAATTCCAATAATCTTAAAAAACCTGAGAAAAAATGAACTAATATGACGGAATTGTTAATATTAACTCTTCCTGCTTCTAAAATAAATTTGTTATTATGTTAAGATTATAGGATCTAGAGTCTGGGGAAATATACAGCACTATACAGAATATTGTTAAAATAAATTACCCAAAACATCATTGTTTTAACGAGGATGTTATAACTACATGCCTAAATTACCAACTCAGAGGAAATCATCACATTCACGAGATTCAGAATGAATATATATTGACTTTTATCTACTTTTGAATAACTCATTTCAATATTCCTTCCAACCTCAACAGACAATGAATTGCATCTAGTTGCAGATTATTGAACTCTTAAAAGATAAAATAATATTTAAGAATACGTAAACTGCCTTTACATCCGATGAACGAATGAACATAATCTTTCCTGGAACCTTTCGTATACCATTTAACAAATTTACTGGAGTTTACGACTGAGTTGTTTACACACACATGACGACCAAGATGGCGGCACATTGTCTCTGAAGCATTCTTCCTTTATTCCTTTCTCGGGAGCGACATGGGACTCAACGCCCATTGAAACGAGACAATATATTGAGCCACAATAATCTCCAGAAGCTCTTGATGAAGAAGCAGCAGCTGCTTCGGCTTACAGTGCCATGGTGGACTGTAAGCGACACAATGGCACTGACACAACGGAACTAACCGTCTTCCAGCAGCAAACACGATCGAACTAACCATCTTCCAGCAGCAAACACGATCGAACTAACCATCTTCCAGCAGCAAACACGATCGAACTAACCATCTTCCAGCAGCAAACACGATCGAACTAACCATCTTCCAGCAGCAAACACGATCGAACTAACCATCTTCCAGCAGCAAACACGATCGAACTAACCGTCTTCCAGCAGCAAACACGATCGAACTAACCATCTTCCAGCAGCAAACACGATCGAACTAACCGTCTTCCAGCAGCAAACACGATCGAACTAACCATCTTCCAGCAGCAAACACGATCGAACTAACCATCTTCCAGCAGCAAACACGATGGAACTAAACATCTTCCAGCAGCAAACACGATGGAACTAACCATCTTCCAGCACCAAACAAGACCAAACTAACCATCTTCCAGCAGCAAACAAGACCGAACTAACCATCTTCCAGCAGCAAACCAGACTGAACTAACCATCTTCCAGCAGCAAACAAGACCGAACTAACCATCTTCCAACAGCAAACAAGACCGAACTAACCATCTTCCAGCAGCAAACAAGACCGAACTAACCATCTTCCAGCAGCAAACACGATGGAACTAACCATCTTCCAACAGCAAACAAGACCGAACTAACCATCTTCCAGCAGCAAACAAGACCGAACTAACCATCTTCCAGCAGCAAACACGATGGAACTAACCATCTTCCAGCAACAAACAAGACCGAACTAACCAACTTCCAGCAGCTAACAAGTCCGAAATAACCATCTTCCAGCAACAAACAAGACCGAACTAACCAACTTCCAGCAGCAAACAAGACCGAACTAACCATCTTCCAGCAGCAAACAAGACCGAACTAACCATCTTCCAGCAGCAAACAAGACCGAACTAACCATCTTCCAGCAGCTAACAAGACCGAACTAACCATCTTCCAGCAGCAAACAAGACGGAACTAACCATCTTCCAGCAGCAAACAAGACCGAACTAACCAACTTCCAGCAGCTAACAAGACCGAACTAACCATCTTCCAACAGCAAACAAGACCGAACTAACCATCTTCCAGCAGCAAACAAGACCGAACTAACCATCTTCCAGCAGCAAACAAGACCGAACTAACCATCTTCCAGCAGCAAACAAGACCGAACTAACCAACTTCCAGCAGCTAACAAGACCGAACTAACCAACTTCCAGCAGCAAACAAGACCGAACTAACCATCTTCCAGCAGCAAACAAGACCGAACTAACCAACTTCCAGCAGCTAACAAGACCGAACTAACCATCTTCCAACAGCAAACAAGACCGAACTAACCGTCTTCCAACAGCAAACAAGACCGAACTAACCATCTTCCAGCAACAAACAAGACCGAGCTAACCATCTTTCAGCAGCAAACAAGACCGAACTAATTATCTTCCAGCAGCTAAGAAGACCGAACTAACCATCTTCCAACAGCAAACAAGACCGAACTAACCATCTTCCAGCAGCAAACAAGACTGAACTAACCATGTTCCAGCAGCAAACAAGACCGAACTAACCATCTTCCAACAGCAAACAAGACCGAACTAACCATCTTCCAACAGCAAACAAGACCGAACTAACCATCTTCCAACAGCAAACAAGACCGAACTAACCATCTTCCAGCAGGTAACAAGACCGAACTAACCATCTTCCAGCAGCAAACAAGACCGAACTATCTTCCAGCAGCAAATAAGACCGAACTAACCATCTTCCAGCAACAAACAAGACCGAACTAACCATCTTCCAGCAGGTAACAAGACCGAACTAACTATCTTCCAGCAGCTAACACGACCGAACTAACCAACCAGTCTCCATCAGACACTCAAACCTAAACATTTGTAAACCAAACAGTGTGATATCCATTTTAATTTCTGTAACGCAGGAGGTTTCTGAGCGTCAGGGGCTGCTGAACGGGAGGCCGGAGTGCCTGGTGTAGTACAGCCAAGCTTTTTACAACTCTGACCACTGAACTAGATGGTTAGTGCAGTGGTTAGAGTCTCTAACTCCAGGGGCAGTGATGCATTAAATATTGAGACTCCACTAACACCATAAAAGTAGTACCCCTACCAGCACCACCACCACTACCAGCACCACCACCAACACCACCACCACTACCAGCACCACCAACACTACCAGCACCACCACCAACACCACCACCACTACCAGCACCACCACCACTACCAGCACCACCACCAACACCACCACCACTACCAGCACCACCACCACTACCAGCACCACCACCACCACCAGCACCACCACCACTACCAACACCACCACCACTACCAGCACCACCACCACTACCAACACCACCACCACTACCAGCACCACCACCACTACCAGCACCACCACCACTACCAGCACCACCACCAACACCACCACCACTACCAGCACCACCACCACTACCAGCACCACCACCACTACCAGCACCACCACCACTACCAGCACCACCACCAACACCACCACCACTACCAGCACCACCACCACTACCAGCACCACCAACACTACCAGCACCACCACCACTACCAGCACCACCACCACTACCAGCACCACCACCAACACCACCACCACTACCAGCACCACCACCACTACCAGCACCACCACCAACACCACCACCACTACCAGCACCACCACCACTACCAGCACCACCACCAACACCACCACCACTACCAGCACCACCACCACTACCAGCACCACCACCACCACCAGCACCACCACCACTACCAACACCACCACCACTACCAGCACCACCACCACTACCAACACCACCACCACTACCAGCACCACCACCACTACCAGCACCACCACCACTACCAGCACCACCACCAACACCACCACCACTACCAGCACCACCACCACTACCAGCACCACCACCAACACCACCACCACTACCAGCACCACCACCAACACCAGCACCACCACCACTACCAACACCACCACCACAACCACCACCACCACCACCACCACCACCACTACCAGCACCACCACCAACACCACCACCACTACCAGCACCACCACCACTACCAGCACCACCACCAACACCACCACCACTACCAGCACCACCACCACCACCACCACCACTACCAGCACCACCACCAGCACCACCACCACTACCAGCACCACCACCAACACCACCACCACTACCAGCACCACCACCACTACCAGCACCACCACCAACACCACCACCACTACCAGCACCACCACCAACACCACCACCACTACCAGCACCACCACCACTACCAGCACCACCACCACTACCAGCACCACCACCAACACCACCACCACTACCAGCACCACCACCACTACCAGCACCACCACCACTACCAGCACCACCACCAACACCACCACCACTACCAGCACCACCACCACTACCAGCACCACCACCACTACCAGCACCACCACCACTACCAGCACCACCACCAACACCAGCACCACCACCACTACCAACACCACCACCACTACCAGCACCACCACCACTACCAGCACCACCACCACTACCAGCACCACCACCAACACCACCACCACTACCAGCACCACCACCACTACCAACACCACCACCACTACCAGCACCACCACCACTACCAACACCACCACCACTACCAGCACCACCACCACTACCAGCACCACCACCACTACCAGCACCACCACCACTACCAACACCACCACCACTACCAGCACCACCACCACTACCAACACCACCACCAACACCACCACCACTACCAACACCACCACCACTACCAGCACCACCACCACTACCAGCACCACCACCAACACCACCACCACTACCAGCACCACCACCACTACCAGCACCACCACCACTACCAGCACCACCACCACTACCAGCACCACCACCACTACCAGCACCACCACCACTACCAGCACCACCACCACGTGCTCAACAACACCGCTGCACTTTAGCGTGTCGTTAAAGACACAGTGACTGATGAGTTCTCTCTTAAGACGGGTAGTGTAGAGAGAGAGAGAGAGAGAGAGAGAGAGAGAGAGAGAGAGAGAGAGAGAGAGAGAGAGAGAGAGAGAGAGAGAGAGAGAGAGAGAGAGAGAGAGAGAGAGAGAGAGAGAGAGAGAGAGAGAGAGAGAGAGAGAGAGAGAGAGAGAGAGAGAGAGAGAGAGAGAGAGAGAGAGAGAGAGAGAGAGAGAGAGAGAGAGAGAGAGAGAGAGAGAGAGAGAGAGAGAGAGAGAGAGAGAGAGAGAGAGAGAGAGAGAGAGAGAGAGAGAGAGAGAGAGAGAGAGAGAGAGAGAGAGAGAGAGAGAGAGAGAGAGAGAGAGAGAGAGAGAGAGAGAGAGAGAGAGAGAGAGAGAGAGAGAGAGAGAGAGAGAGAGAGAGAGAGAGAGAGAGAGAGAGAGAGAGAGAGAGAGAGAGAGAGAGAGAGAGAGAGAGAGAGAGAGAGAGAGAGAGAGAGAGAGACAGAGAGAGAGAGAGAGAGAGAGAGAGAGAGAGAGAGACAGAGAGAGAGAGAGAGAGAGAGAGAGAGAGAGAGAGAGAGAGAGAGAGAGAGAGAGAGAGAGAGAGAGAGAGAGAGAGAGAGAGAGAGAGAGAGAGAGAGAGAGAGAGAGAGAGAGAGAGAGAGAGAGAGAGAGAGAGAGAGAGAGAGAGAGAGAGAGAGAGAGAGAGAGAGAGAGAGAGAGAGAGAGAGAGAGAGAGAGAGAGAGAGAGAGAGAGAGAGAGAGAGAGAGAGAGAGAGAGAGAGAGAGAGAGAGAGAGAGAGAGAGAGAGAGAGAGAGAGAGAGAGAGAGAGAGAGAGAGAGAGAGAGAGAGAGAGAGAGAGAGAGAGAGAGAATGAAACAATAACACTAAGCACTAAATAGAAGAGAATGGAGAGAAATAATTTTTTCCCCAACAGAAGCGTTGGCAAGAGGAATGCAAAGCAATTTCCCGAGTCTGGTTGAATATGCCGGAGGCGGCGGAGGAGGGGCGGGGGGGGGAAGGGGGGGGGAGGGGGGAGGGGGGTAGGGGGGAGGGGGGAGGGGGGAGGGGGGGAGGGTGTTTGCAAGAGGAAGTCACTGCCAGAATAAAAACACAGGATGAACGAGAACAAGGAAACTATCATTTAAGATACATTGCAAGTCACTAGCGGTGGTCGCACTGGGAAAACGCCTGGAATACAGCAATATAAATCATTATATTCTGATGTAGAATACAGCAACATAAAATACTTTATTGTGATGTAGAATACAGCAACATAAAATACTTTATTGTGATGTAGAATACAGCAACATAAAATACTTTATTGTGATGTAGAATACAGCAACATAAAATACTTTATTGTGATGTAGAATACAACAATATATATATATATATATATATATATATATATATATATATATATATATATATATATATATATATATATATATATATATATATATATATATATATATATATATAACATTTTATCGTGATGAAGGAATATTACGCCACAAACATAAGCATCCAGGTAGAATTCAAGACGGAATCTGATCTGTCACTCGAGCAAAGAGCCAAACCAAACGACCACTTCTGCAGGAACGTCTTAGTGAATATCTAACTACCACCTTGGATACTGAAGGAGGAAGTTAAAGCAGGCAGCACCACCCTTTGCTACAATATTGAATTCCTCATCGTAAATGGGAAATCTTCACAACTATTAGAAAATGCTTAATATGGCCCTATTTTAACAGGAACAGGTGAATACAAGGACCGCTAAACAACAGACCAATATCACTAACAAGTATCCCCCTGCAAGTTAGGAGAGACTGATCCACAACAGCCTAATAGAACAGCCAAACTGAATTGCAAAAACACCAGCACAGATTTAGCAAAGGAAACAAATTTGATAATCTTGTCGGAGTTTTACAATAAGATGCCGAAGGTTAAGCAAGGGATTGGAGGATGGGCAGCACTAAATGAACACAGACGAGGATTGGTTATCCTGCAGCTTCCTGCGGTCCACTGCGGTCCACAAGGAGCATAACCCTGCGGCCCGATGCGGTCCGCTTTCATGCCCTCAAAAATCGGCATATAAGGAGAGTAAATCGGAAAATCAATATCCGATATGTGAATCATGAATACAATGCCAGAGGAGCCTTACGTAGCTGTGGGTTTTCTTGAGGCAAGAGGGTAGGGTAGGGTGGTGGGTTAGGACTCGGCTGTGGTGGGTTAAGACTGGGCTGTGGTGGGTTAAGACTGGGCTGTGGTGGGTTAAGACTGGGCTGTGGTGGGTTAAGACTGGGCTGTGGTGGGTTAAGACTGGGCTGTGGTGGGTTAAGACTCGGCTGTGGTGGGTTAAGACTGGGGTGTGGTGGGTAAAGACTGGGCTGTGGTGGGTTAAGACTGGGCTGTGGTGGGTTAAGACTGGGCTGTGGTGGGTTAAGACTGGGCTGTGGTGGGTTAAGACTGGGCTGTGGTGGGTTAAGACTGGGGTGTGGTGGGTTAAGACTGGGGTGTGGTGGGTTAAGACAGGGCTGTGGTGGGTTATAACTGGGCTGAGGTGGGTTTAAGGTGTGCATTGGCATCTAGGTGTAGATGGTGGGTTTAGAAAGACATATTCCTTTCATTCTGGTTGGATATTTGAGAAACCTTTTGAGATTATCCTGACTATCATTGGCTGAAGCTCAGAAAATAACACATGCCGCAAGTTAGGACAACCAACAGCCAAGTTGATCAAGTAAACCAATAATACTCGTGAATTACAGTATAACTCAAGCAGCTTTGAGCATCTATTTAACAAAGTATTGAGAATATTTATTTTATTTTATATATATACAAGAGTTCTTACATTCCTGTACATTTTTTTTATGGTTTACAGAATGTAGTTTACAATATTTAGTTTACAGTATTTAGTTTATAGTATTTAGTTTACAGTATTTAGTTTACAGTATGTGGTTTAGAAAATGGGGTTATAAGACAAAATTATTTATTGCGTTTATTCCATTAATTTTTTTTCGCTGACGTATTTACAAATTTGATGTATAATTAGCTGTATTCACTGTTCTTATTTGTGCTCCATCTCTTGGGCCCCACCTCTCAATCCTCAAGCAACTGGTAAACGAGTTTCCGAGCCAATTGGGATGTGAAATATATTCCCCTTGAAGCTGTGTATGGAGTCTGACTCTATCACTTCACATCTCTGTGCATTCCACTTGTTTATTGTTCTGGTACCGAACAAATTCTTTCTAATGTTTGTGTGTAGCTCATTAGGGTAATTAGTCTCGCTTCATGCAGGTCGGCGTTCAATCCCCGACCGTCCAAGTGGTTGGACACCATTCCTTCCCCACCATTCCTTTTCTTGTAGTGCAAGTAGAGATGACTCTTAAGTTGGGAGTTTTAAGGAATTGCTCTCAGGGAAATAACACCACTGAGATATATTATGTATTTAAATAAATAAAATATATATATATATATATATATATATATATATATATATATATATATATATATATATATATATATATATATATATATATATATATCACCATTGATGCTCACAGAGGTAGAAGAAACATAAACGGGGAAGCTGCCTACCATTTACAATTGCAATATCTATGGGATTCCACGCAGAAAAACATTTGATAAATGGACTTAAATCAAATTAAATATGTTAATAGCGTTTTGTCAATTAACGTTTTAATTACTATAGCTCTAATTACTATTACTATAGTTCTAATTACTATTGCTATAACGATTGTATTTCCGTCATTGTTTCAGCCTAACAATCGGGGGGCAGTGATCCCCCCGCCGCCCCCCGTCCTGAGAGTACGTGCGTCCAGGCTCGTAACATTAAAGTTACATTGGGTACGAATTCAATGTCTGCAAACTCCTAATGGGTACGAAAAGGCTTCCAGATTACGTAACTATTAACATATCGTTTTTCGTGGGTATGTCGCGTGTCTGTGGGGGGGGGGGGGACTCAGAACGATGGAACGCATATATTATTTTCTCACTGATATATCCAGGTATAGTGACGTCATTGAGTATGTGTGCACATATGTAAGATAGTTCATACTGAGTAGCGACTTGTTAATGGATTCTGTTAACTCCTTATTCTTTCTTAATCCACTTAATTACTGAGTTAGGTCCTTCGTTAACCTTAATGTCTAAAATAAATGTAATCACAACAATTATTATAAGTAAAGTACGGTGATAAATAAGCTGGGGGCCAGAATTCGTCTCTTACGAAACCTTTGCATCCTTAATTGATCTTGACTTTTTTTACACATATATAATTAGTTGATTAGTTGGGAATCACTGCGAGGTTGTTGACAACAATAATACCTTAAGACTCGCGAAGTTTCGAAGGTCAAACTTTATATAATAAACGCAGATGAAGCCGCTGTGGCTAAGAAAATATTCACAGGTTTCCTAAGAGGTTATATAAGTGCTAAGTATATATAAGTACTATATAAGTACTAAGGTTATATAAGTACTAAGAGCATTACTCTTTTGAGAGCTGGAACAGTACTCACCAACGTCTTGTGAGAAAATGGTAATAATATTCTCAATAACTACACAAATGGTGAGTTTGCTCGTTACTAGAAAACGACTTAACAACATGGCAATAACGAGCTAAAAAATCCCAGTGAAATACAAACATTAGAAATGATTTTAAATTCATCAAGTTATCAGAGATCAGTCAGGGTTTCACACTCGACAATACAATTAAATAAACACATATCATTTAGTTGTAGATACAAATTATTTGTGTTATATGGAAATTTACATTTTTAATTTGCCAGTGAGATGAGGAAAAAATTGATTTTGAATATTGCCACGCAGACGGCAGACCCAGATTATATATATGTCCAAAAGATATGAAACAGGTCTAGAAATTGTGTTTCTTTAACCCTTAAACTGCTAAGCTAAAACTCCAGCGTCAAGATGCTGAAACATATGAAGGACGATTGGAGAACAGGAAAAAATCACAGATGACGATTGGAGTACAGGAGGAAATCACAGATGGTGATTAGAGTACAGGAGGAAATCACAGATGGTGATTGGAGTACGGGAGGAAATCACAGATGGTGATTGGAGTACGGGAGGAAATCACAGATGGTAATTGGAGTACGGGAGGAAATCACAGATGGTGATTGGAGTACGGGAGGAAATCACAGATGGTGATTGGAGTAGAGGAGGAAATCACAGATGGTGATTGGAGTACGGGAGGAAATCACAGATGGTGATTGGAGTACGGGAGGAAATCACAGATGGTGATTGGAGTAGAGGAGGAAATCACAGATGGTGATTGGAGTACAGGAGGAAATCACAGATGGTGATTGGAGTACAGGAGGAAATCACAGATGGTGATTGGAGTACGGGAGGAAATCACAGATGGTAATTGAACCACAAGACAAAATCACAGATAGTGATTGGAACACAGGAGAAAATTGCAGAGGGCAACTGAAGTAGTGTATAGGTGTTAACGACGCAGGTGTACAAACCTAAACAACCCAACAGGGTTACGTAGACCACTTAATAGAATCCTAAGACATAGAAAACGAGGTATTTTACACGCCCAGGCGAATCAAATCACCCTTTACCAGATGACTAATTTTTTTTACACCTTGGAGGCGGCGATACACGTGTTCTCCAAACCCAATCTCCCTCCAAAATGTGTTGCGATATGTCCCAATCAATACTTCTTCAGTCAAGTTGGAACTTCGCATGAAAAAATGAGACGAGTTTCACGAATATTTGAAGCTATCAAAAGGGCATCGTGTTCTTAAGAACATCTCCAAAGGGCATGAGAATGTCACACAGAAAAGTAAACAAAAGCTCTGCTTATTTCCAGGTTTTATACGGTTAAATGTGTGTTTCTGTAAGCTGTGGAGCAGCTTACGGACGCGATCAAACTTATAGACGCGATCAGACTTACAGACGGGATCAGACTTACAGACGGGATCAGACTTACAGACGCGATCAGACTTACAGACTTACAGTTACTACAGGAAACGTAACTACAGGACTCCCAGGAAACAATGTAACTTCAGGACTCCCAGGAAACAACGTAACTTCAGGACTCCCAGGAAACGACGTAACTACAGGACTCCCAGGAAACAACGTAACTTCAGGACTCCCAGGAAACAACGTAACTTCAGGACTCCCAGGACACAACGTAACTACAGGACTCCCAGGAAACAACGTAACTACAACGTTTAACGCTATTACGGTGTTAAAATGCTTTAACTAACGTCAAAATAACATTGTGGTTACGAAGTGAGTTTGCGAGGATACATTCTCATTGATATGTCACGTTATGGTATACAAGTTTACATCTGTGTACGGTATACCAGTTTACATTACTATGGTATTCTATTCCACTATGGACCTTCTAATATATGACACGCATTGAGGTGGTATACCAGATTCTTACTAACAAGGGGTTTCCCAGGTAGTGGACAATATATGCAGACATAGCTATATGATGGTGGCTCTTCCAGCTCCTATTGGTCCATACGAGGCAGCTCCTATTGACCCATACGAGGCAGCTCCTATTGACCCATACGAGGCAGCTCCTATTGGTCCATACGAGGCAGCTCCTATTGACCCATACGAGGCAGCTCCTATTGGTACATACGAGGCAGCTCCTATTGACCCATACGAGGCAGCTCCTATTGGTCCATACGAGGCAACTCCTATTGACCCATACGAGGCAGCTCCTATTGACCCATACGAGGCAGCTCCTATTGGTCCATACGAGGCAGCTCCTATTGACCCATACGAGGCAGCTCCTATTGGTCTATACGAGGCAGCTCCTATTGACCCATACGAGGCAGCTCCTATTGACCCATACGAGGCAGCTCCTATTGGTCCATACGAGGCAGCTCCTATTGGTACATACGAGGCAGCTCCTATTGGCCCATACGAGGCAGCTCCTATTGACCCATACGAGGCAGCTCCTATTGACCCATACGAGGCAGCTCCTATTGGTACATACGAGGCAGCTCCTATTGGCCCATACGAGGCAGCTCCTATTGACCCATACGAGGCAGCTCCTATTGGTACATACGAGGCAGCTCCTATGGGTCCATACGAGGCAGCTCCTATTGACCCATACGAGGCAGCTCCTATTGGTACATACGAGGCAGCTCCTATTGACCCATACGAGGCAGCTTCTATTGACCCATACGAGGCAGCTCCTATTGACCTATACGAGGCAGCTCCTATTGACCCATACGAGGCAGCCCCTATTGACCCATACGAGGCAGCTCATATTGGTCCATACGAGGCAGCTCCTATTGACCCATACGAGGCAGCTCATATTGGTCCATACGAGGCAGCTCCTATTGGCCCATACGAGGCAGCTCCTATTGACCTATACGAGGCAGCTCCTATTGACCCATACGAGGCAGCCCCTATTGACCCATACGAGGCAGCTCATATTGGTCCATACGAGGCAGCTCCTATTGACCCATACGAGGCAGCTCATATTGGTCCATACGAGGCAGCTCCTATTGGCCCATACGAGGCAGCTCCTATTGGCCCATACGAGGCAACTCCTTTTAATATTTTATATCAACCAAGTTATAGTATTCACTAAACGTGAATAAAATTCCTGTGTCACGAAGCATCTAAAAAATTAATTAAAATATCCCTGGACTACAAACCTAAGACCCAAGTCATCATAATATAACATAGCTTCTACCAGGAAAAAGTCGTGATCTAAGGGTCATTACTGCCGCCCTGAGACGAGGCAGTAACAGGCACTTTAGGGGCCGAGGGACGACTTTTAAGACAGTTATCCAAAGACTTCTAGTGAGCGCTTGGCCGAGTTTCGGCCATGAACGCAAGTGGAGTGCTGAAGAGTTCACTGTTTCCTTTCTTGCTTGGCGTTCTTGGGAGAGTATAGCTCGGTCATGGAAATGAACGCAGGTAGAGTCAGGAGTTTCTAATTTCCTGGCCCCGGACAGCTAAAGAGTCTTTGACCACAGCTAAAGAGTCTAAAACAACAGCTAAAGAGTCTGAAACAACAGCTAAAGAGTCTTTGACCACAGCTAAAGAGTCTTTGACCACAGCTAAAGAGTCTTTGACCACAGCTAAAGAGTCTTTTGACCACAGCTAAAGAGTCTTTGACCACAGCTAAAGAGTCTTTGACCACAGCTAAAGAGTCTTTGACCACAGCTAAAGAGTCTTTGACCACAGCTAAAGAGTCTTTTGACCACAGCTAAAGAGTCTTTGACCACAGCTAAAGAGTCTTTGACCACAGCTAAAGAGTCTAAAACAACAGCTAAAGAGTCTGAAACAACAGCTAAAGAGTCTTTGACCACAGCTAAAGAGTCTTTGACCACAGCTAAAGAGTCTATGACCACAGCTAAAGAGTCTTTTGACCACAGCTAAAGAGTCTTTGACCACAGCTAAAGAGTCTTTGACCACAGCTAAAGAGTCTTTGACCACAGCTAAAGAGTCTTTGAACACAGCTAAAGAGTCTTTGACCACAGCTAAAGAGTCTAAAACAACAGCTAAAGAGTCTTTGACCACAGCTAAAGAGTCTTTGACCACAGCTAAAGAGTCTATGCCCAGACCACAGCTAAAGAGTCTTTTGACCACAGCTAAAGAGTCTTTGACCACAGCTAAAGAGTCTTTGACCACAGCTAAAGAGTCTTTGACCACAGCTAAAGAGTCTTTGACCACAGCTAAAGAGTCTTTGACCACAGCTAAAGAGTCTTTGACCACAGCTAAAGAGTCTTTGACCACAGCTAAAGAGTCTTTGACCACAGCTAAAGAGTCTTTGACCACAGTTAAAGAGTCTTTGACCACAGCTAAAGAGTCTTTGACCATACCACAGCTAAAGAGTCTATGATCATAATGCAATAGGAATCAGAGACAGGTGACACATCAATACACCTTCACTAGCATCCTACAGCTTCAATAATTTGTATAAATCACTGAGAAATAAACCCTCTAAATCTAAATCTAAATATAGATTTTACAGCTTATTGTGCCTTTCTCATGTGTAAACAAAATTCTAATATTTTACGTAAACTAAATTGTAAATGTTCAGTCATTTATGAATAAAGTTTTGATAAGACAAAAGGTTAGGTTAAGTCATATTAGGTTATCTTATGTTAGATTTGGTTAGGTTAGGTTAGATGAGGTATGGTTAAGTTAGGTTAGATTGGTTTAGGCTAAATTAAGTTAGGTTAGGCTAGGTTAAGTTAGGTTAGGTTAGCCTAGGTTAAGTTAGGTTAGGTTAGGTTAAGTTAGGTTAGGTATTGTTAGATTTGGTTAGAATAGGTTAAGTAAGATTTGGTTTGGTTTAGTTAGGTTAGGTTAGGTTAGGTTAGGTTACGTGGATCAGCTAAACATGAGTCTATATACTGATTTCCAGTGATTAAAAAAAAAATAATACATGTAGTAAAAGTCATCAGTAATAAACAGACATCAAATGGAAGCTTTATTGAGTCTATACCACATGAACTATGATATCTAATATTGCTAAATAGTATAGATTGCATATAAAACTTAGCCATAAGAGCTTTATGTAAAATTATCTGTCAACCATAGAATTATATTAGAATGGTGATGTAAAGGGAAATATAGCCATTACATAACTATAAATACTGATGGGCAATACACCCATTATATAGCTATAGTGATAGAACTATACCCATTAAATTTATATAAATACTGACGAGAATGTACCCATTACTGGCTATATACACTGACGGGAATATAGCAATTATACAGCTGTAAATATTGACGGAAATAGACCCATTACATTGCAACAAATACTGACGGAAATAGACCCATTACATTGCAACAAATACTGACGGAAATATACCCATTACATTGCAACAAATGCTGACGGAAATAGACCCATTACATTGCAACAAATACTGACGGAAATAGACCCATTACATTGCTATAAATACTGACGGGAATTTACCGATTACATTGCTATAAATAATGACAGGAATACACCCATTACATCTCCATAAATATTATATACCGTTGATGACCTGAACTATGCAGCCATTTAAAAGCTCAACATCCAGTTGCATATGACTAAAAATAATTACAAAATCAAATTTAAAAAAAAATCACCCATGCACGATTTGAGCAGTGGAGGGCTTAAGACCTGACAAGGTGGCATTGATTCTTCTTATCAGATTACTGTCGTCTGAATTACCGTCGTTTCAGGAAGTAACCACCAGAACACTTCGATTTTGTTCATCCTCTAAGGTATGAAATTGGCTGTGAACCCTTAAGCCGTCTCGTTATATGGTGATTGAACTATGATGGTTGTTAGACTGGTATTTCCCTTCAGTCAATGTCTTGTATCACTCAAGCCCAGAACATATATAAGCATTCTCGATATCACATGTATAGTTATTTCTGCTATCGGGGACGCAACAATTATTTATAATGCTCTGGTACAATTTTACTGCTAGGTGAACAGAGGAATAAGGTGAAGGTAAAGGTGCCCAACCGTTTCTGTCCTGTAAGGGGTTTGAACCCACGTCAGTCGATTGTGAGTCGAGGACATATTCCACTTTACTACAGATATGTAACTATATTAAATTGTATATATAGAAATACACACACTGGAATGTATTCGAATACAATAGGTTTTCTCGTAATATTCACCATGGATACAATAAGCCCAATGCAGTGGTTGGAAAATAAATCCCATTATCTTTGTAGTCCATGATAGCGTAATGGTAACACACTCGCCCTGCCAGTGATATGGTCTGGGTTCGAGTCCGAGGCAAGGAGGATTGACTGGGATGCCTGGTTCTCAACTGATTTACGGGTCGTGTTCCAGGGAGGCTAGTGAACAAGGCTTAACAAGAACTATGGGAACACTGACAGGAGGTACAAGCTCCTGTTGGGAACACTGACAGGAGGTACAAGCTCCTGTTGGGAACACTGACAGGAGGTACAAGCTCCTGTTGGGGACACTGACAGGAGGTACAAGCTCCTGTTGGGGACACTGACAGGAGGTACAAGCTCCTGTTGGGGACACTGACAGGAGGTACAAGCTCCTGTTGGGAACACTGACAGGAGGTACAAGCTCCTGTTGGGGACACTGACAGGAGGTACAAGCTCCTGTTGGGGACACTGACAGGAGGTACAAGCTCCTGTTGGGAACACTGACAGGAGGTACAAGCTCCTGTTGGGGACACTGACAGGAGGTACAAGCTCCTGTTGGGGACACTGACAGGAGGTACAAGCTCCTGTTGGGGACACTGACAGGAGGTACAAGCTCCTGTTGGGGACACTGACAGGAGGTACAAGCTCCTGTTGGGGACACTGACAGGAGGTACAAGCTCCTGTTGGGGACACTGACAGGAGGTACAAGCTCCTGTTGGGGACACTGACAGGAGGTACAAGCTCCTGTTGGGGACACTGACAGGAGGTACAAGCTCCTGTACCCGCCTGTGTATAAAAAAAACAGTAATTTATTTCCCAAATTAATGTTTTTGTATAATTTACAATTTGTATACCTAATTTACAATTTGTATACCTAATCAACTGCAACATCTTAAAATGTTTATTGTATAAATTAAAATTAATATTAATAATATTATCTTAACATTATATTATCACTTCCATTTACGTTATCATATTTTTGCATTATTATCTAACATTATAACTATTCATCATTGCTGCTGACTCGCATTTCTTTCTCATTATTGTTGAATTCGATCACGTTATTTTATGAGACACGACTCATTCATCACACCGCACTAATGATGAATCTGTTCCACAATTTTAGTCAAGCGAGATAATGGATTCAGCGGCAGGAGGTGGAATCTATTATCCTGGGTCTAATTGGTCGCATCTCCCCCACTCTAAGGTAATACCCTTAGCTTGCCCCCTTACCCTTACCCTTGCCCTCCCCCCCCCCCCGTCTCTCACTGTATCGACACTCAGATAGGAGCAGACTGTCTCTCAAGTTCCCGCTTAAACACTCAGATGAGCGCAGACTGCCTCTTAAGTTCCCGTTCAAACAGTCAGATGAGCGCAGACTGTCTCTTAAGTTCCCGTTCAAACACTCAGATGAGCGCAGACTGCCTCTCAAGTTCCCGTTCAAACACTCAGATAAGCGCAGACTGTCTCTCAAGTTCCCGTTCAAACACTCAGATAAGCGCAGACTGTCTCTCAAGTTCCCGTTCAAACACTTAGATGAGCGCAGACTGTCTCTCAAGTTCCCGTCCATACACTCACATGAGAGCAGACTGTCTGCCGCGCCGCAGGTCTGCTGTGCGCTAACCAGGAATTAACCAAGTTAAAATTTCAATAAACAGGTATTAATCCAGTTTCCTGTTTGGTAAACAGGTACTAATTCTGTTTCCTGTTCAATTAACATATATTAATCCAGTTTCCTGTTCAACAATCAGGCAAATACATAATTTCTCTAATCCCTAATCAATATCTTTCTCGCGGAGCAATATAAAAAAGTGTACTTAAACCGAAACAGTGAGGGAAGATAGAGAGAGAGAGAGAGAGAGAGAGAGAGAGAGAGAGAGAGAGAGAGAGAGAGAGAGAGCGAGAGAGAGAGAGAGAGAGAGAGAGAGAGCGAGAGAGAGAGAGAGAGAGAGAGAGAGAGAGAGAGAGAGAGAGAGCGAGAGAGAGAGAGAGAGAGAGAGAGAGAGAGAGAGAGAGAGAGAGAGAGAGAGCGAGAGAGAGAGAGAGCGAGAGAGAGAGAGAGAGAGAGAGAGAGAGAGAGAGAGAGAGAGAGAGAGAGAGAGGCAGACAGACAAGACAGACAGACAGACAGACAGACAGACAGACAGACAGACAGACAGACAGACAGACAGACAGACAGACAGACAGACAGAGAGAGAGAGAGAGAGAGAGAGAGAGAGAGAGAGAGAGAGAGACAGACAGACAAGACAGACAGACAGACAGACAGACAGACAGACAGACAGACAGAGAGAGAGAGAGAGAGAGAGAGAGAGAGAGAGAGAGAGAGAGAGAGAGAGACAGAGACAGAGACACAGACAGAGACAGACAGAAACAAAAGAGAGCAGATAAATATAAACTACACCATCTATATAACACAACTATCAGCGTTCATGAAACTACATCAATTATTCAAAGAAGAACCCCCCCCCCTTAAAAATCAGAAGACAACCCATCACAGATCAATTACACAATTCCTCGACACAACAACATACTCAACCCTATCATTACATCCACCGATAATACGGAATAGTATTAATTATTAAAAAACAATTACGGAATATAATGATCGCACATGATTCACGAACATATTCTCTCCTTAATCGCGATTTTAGCAGTTTTACGACAGAAAGTTCTCCCCAAAAAGGCATATTTTACTCCGTGCACGCGAGACCCTGATAAATCCTTCCCAGCTGCTCCGCCGAGAATGCATTCGTGGAAAGATAAGCGATTATCACCCCTTTAGTTTATGAAGTCACCAGAGTTAACTGATAAAAAAATTGGAAATTGCATGGTTAGTGAGAGGTGAGAGGATAGCTGAATATCATCCTTATCCCTTCCCCACTTATCCCCATGGTTATTGGATAGTTTGTGGATAGGCTACACCATTCCTATCCCTCCATCCCCCATCCTAAACCTCTGCATAGTTCGTGACGGACACAGAACACTACTCCCCCCCCCCCCTCTAGTTAGCAGAGTAATAGGCTTCCCTCCAATTTAATCATCTTAATAATCCCCCAACTTACTAAGTTACCCTAAAACATTACCTGTCAGTGGCTTTACAACCATGTTTCCAATCACAGTTGGGTAAACAGGGGAGATTGGTACAGGATCAATGCCAAGACAATCTTTCGTGTACTTTAGAATTTGATCCAGGATACTATTGTGTTC